CCCCAACCCACATATTGCATGTAATACATATTTCATACAAAGGAAATACATAATATCATTCCATTCGGGTCCCTTAGTACAAGAATCTAACATGACCTTACAAGGTCCAAAATTTCGAAATACATTTCTTGTACTAATCAATCAAAACAGATCTTCAAGCAGAAGTGCATAAAGGAAAATATTACACCTTCCCCTTCCCCTTACTGTCCGAACCTCCTGCAACACATAGTTAAAATCACAAAACGAGGGTTAGACCGAAAGTTCTAGTGAGATACCCTATTTATGTTGTTTTTTTTGAACGGAAACCAGACAATTTTATAAACAATAAAAAAGGGGATTACAGTAAAGACAAAACCGAAAGACCACCACCTAACCAACAAGAAAACCAAAAGACCTTACCACCAAAGTATACCAAGCCACCAAAAGCCAAAAGGAACAGAGCCCAACAGAACCAACCAAACAACAAAAAATAAAGAAAAGGAGCTTAGCAAACATATAAGCTCCACAAAACCACCAAAAAATCATCATAGCACAGCAACACCAGGCGCCCGACTTCTATCCACCCAAGCCGCACGCATAGAAATCGTATTATTGATAATTGTGATGAGTTGCACAGTTGTACGACTAACTTCAGAAAAAAGTCTTCTATTTCTTTCTTGCCAAATATAATAAACAGAAGCTGCAACCATTAGCCTCTGCTTTAAACGCTTAGGTCGACGAGCACGATCCGAAAGAAAATCCACAATTTGATCCCAAGACGACGGCATAGTCCTCAAGTCCACAAGAAGCAACATACTTTCCCAAATCTCCCGAGTAAAAACACATTGGAAGAATAAATGAGCATGTCTATCAATATAATTACCCTATTTATGTTGTGGCAGGGTGTAAATTACCAAAATACTTTTATGGAAAACAACCTTTCATATATATAACAAATATATGAACAATTAAAGACATAACACCAGATCATAATATCTTTTCCAGCTGAACACTTAGCTATTCAAATCTCATACCTTTGTACTAATCAGGTTTCATATAATGCCACTTTTAAACCTTCTCAAGTCAAACAAGGTTTACATAAAGCTTCAGGCCAAACCTGACATTTTCTCCTCAATAACATCCAAACTATGATTTCCAATAAGAACCTTGATCCTAAATCTTTAAATCACAAAGAAATAAAGACTCCRGACCACGGTAGTCTTAAAGGATATAATAGAATGAGTTATATTATACAACACACATATAAATGCCACCCTTGTATCCAAAGGTACACCTCTCCTTGATATGCCACCCTTATCCCATGGTACACCTCTCCTTGATATGCCACCCTTATCCCATGGTACATCTCTCCTTGATATGTCACCCTTATTTCCTCATCAAAATATTTCACAGAATAATTTCAAATAAACCGCAGTCATTGAAATTATTATTAAAACAAAATCATTTATTTCAAAACTTCCTTTTTATGATAAAATAACATTTCTTATTGAAAACACAACATTACATCAAATCCGGTCAATTTGATTAGCCGGACTTCAACTCCGGTCAACTAT